CCTGTAGGAGGTGGAGCATGAGATGAGCCTTGAAGGCATCTGGGGACTCTAAGATGTTGAGGGGAGAAGTGAGGGCATTCCAGGCAACTGGGACATGATGTGCAAAGGCCAAAGAGAAGGAGATGGGTTGCCGAATTCGTGGGGCAACAAATAGGCCGATTTGGCTTGAATGTCCAATGCACGAACAAGGTCTTTGTCTGTTTTGGCTAGAACATGGAGTGCCGGGTCAAAAATTAAATTTCCATGATCTCCTTCCTAGCCCTCAAAGGCTCTGCTGAGGCCTCTCCTCTTCCCTGGAGGGGCTTTCCAACAGAGATCCTGGGGCCTTAGCAGACTTTCTGAATCCACTCAACAAAATTGTCTTTCTCTTCCTCCCCTCTTTTCTCAGGACTTGTTTCCCTGGGTCCTTCCCCTCCTTGTCAACAGTCTTTATTTTGCCCTCTTTGATCTCCTGTCCTCTGCTGGAAGGAATCTTGTCCAAACCCTGGGTCCTTCCTGTTCATGGAAGTCCTTCCTTCTCCAACTTACCCACCCCTTGCCTTCCCATCTTCCTTCAAGACCCAAATCCAATGCTACCTCCTCCATGCAACTTTCCCTGTTCTCCCCAGCTGAATGATCTCTCTCCTTCTTCTGGGATCCCATAGTTCTTTGAACCTCCTAGTATTTCACTTTCAAATTCTATCTTGTGGTATGGTTGTTGAGTTGTATCTGATTCTTCGTGACCCCAGTTGGAGTTTTCTTGGTGGAGGTACTGGAGTGGTTTGCCATTTCCTTCTCCAGCTTACTTTACAAATGAGGAAACTGAGGCAAACAGGGTGAAGTGACTTGCACAAGGTCACACAGCTAGTACATGTCTGAGGTCAAATTTGAACCGAGGAAGATGAGTCTTCCTGACTCCAGGCCCAGCACTCTGTCTTAACTGGCAGCCACTTTTATAATTCCTTACTTGACTGTAAGCTCTTCAAGATCAAGGACTATATTTTATTAATCTATGTCATAGGCTCTTAGGATGATAGATTGAGAAATGAAAGGGAATCCAAGATACCCTTAAGCCAATCCACCCACCCCACCCCCAATTATTTTGTAGTTGAGGGACCTGAGGTTCAGAGAAGTTAAACAGCTTGTCCCAGGTCACACAGATGGCAGAGCCTGGATTTGAACCCCAGGCTTCTGACTGAAAATCCAGCACTATCCTCTACAGTGCCCAACACAAAGACTTACGAACAGATGGTACTCAACTCATGTTTGTTGGTTGGTTGATTGAATGAATGAACGAATGAAGACAGAAATACATTATTGGAAGAGATTCCTTGAGGAGAAAAGGAGTGTCGGTGACAGTTCCTGTAGACTGGAAAAAGAACAAGATCAAGACTGCCCACAATCTGACCCCACCTGGTATTTCCAACTTTACCTCTAGGCAGCTAGGTGGCACAATGATTGCACAGCTCTGGATATGGATCCAGGAAGTCCTGAGTTCAAATCCAGCTTCAGACACTTACTAATCAGGTGATCCTAGGCAAGATACTTAATTTCTGTCTCAGTTTCCTAATCTGTGAAATGGGCATAAATAGTAGTAACTGTCTCCCAGGGTTGTGGTGAGGATCAAATGAGACATTTGTAAAGCACTTTGCAAACCTTATGCAAACCTATATTTCTAATGAAGAGGGGATAGAGGTGTCCAAACTGCATGCCGATAGGGAAGTCATAGGTCATATTCACAAAGCGTATCAATCCTGTTTTTATAAATGAAGAACTTTCTCCATCGACCCAGCTTAAATAGTGAGAGACTAGATGCCAATTTACCTGCTTCCAAGCCGAGGCTTTTGCCACTTGGTTTACGGTCTTGCCTTGGTGAGACTGTTTTAGAGGAAAAGATAAGGTAATTATCAGCCATAGGATTAATCAAGTTAACATTAGGAGAGTTAATAAAGACCCTCTCAGGATGGGCTGGGGAAGTAGCCTGGAGGAGAGCCCATTAAATCTGGACCTGGCAGCAGAGGTTTGATGCTCACAGCCGCCATCCTTTGTGATGCAAACTCTGCTTGGTGGTATTCCCCCTTCACTAACTCCAAAATAGCGCCACTATTAACCTGGGGGCTCCCCAGAAGCGAACTCAGGTATTTCACGGAGGCAGTGTTGGGGGTGCTTCAGGCCTTCTCTCCCAAGATGGAGAGTAGAACAGCAGTGGCCCAAGTCCGTGGCCACCATCTAGCAACCTGGTATCCTCTGCATTTTCTTAGCCTGCTAAGTGGAGGGTATCCTCCCCTGTTTTCTGAACAGTGTGGCCAAGTTAGTGAAGGGATTCAAACATGCAGCAAGAGCTGGTTTCTCTCCCTCCTTTTCCCAAGAGCAAAACCTGCCAACGGATGCCCTAAGGTTTGCAAGAGCTCTTTCTCTAGCTTAAGGTGGGAGAGAGGCAGGCTTTGAATTAGAGGGATAGCCAGCCTGGAAGCCAGGAACATCTGAGTTCCCAGTCAGACCTCTCACAGTGTGTCCCTTGGTAACTCACCTAACCTCTCTCTATTCTAGGTCAGTAGTGGCAAACACAAAGAGAAACAGGGGCCACTAGTCTGTCCATAAAGATTTCCAAGGATTGAATAGTGACTTAATTATATAACATATTATTTATGTTTTATTGTGTTCTCTTCATCTTGTGAAGTATTTCCCAATTACATCTTAATCTAACTTGGGACCAACTGAGGCGCATTGCAGGTCACAGGCCACATATTTGACATTCTAGGTAATTCTGAAAGAATCTAAGTTTCAGAGAAAATGGTGCTCTTCATCCAGGAGTTCCTTATATATTTTTATTTTATTTATTTTATTCTGAACTTGAGAAATAAAACAAGCATAACATAGTAGGATAGGGGGGAAAAGATGATTGTACATGAAACTGCAAATCTATTATGTACAACTTATATTAGTGAAACTGAAGGGCCAGTTCTTATCCTATTCTGTGGTGTATGCAAGAGCAATCCCATTGAAGAAGACAAGGGAAACATATAGATAAGTGCTAACTAAATGATGAAAAGCTTTAATGCCCATGAGTCCCCAAAGAAGGAAGGAAGAACTATTGAGTGCTTCAAGGGGAGGATCCATCTCATTTTTGTTTCTTTACCTGAATCTCCTGGCCCAGACCAGGTACTCAACACTCATTAGATTGGATTAAAGTGACAGGAGTTGGGTAAGGTCAGCCTGGGAAGGCTTCCTGAAGGAGGGAGTGTTTAGCAGGAATTAGAAGGAGGGAAGGTGCTAAGTTTGGTTGAGAAGAGGGGACATCTGAAAGCTCAGAGGCAGAAGAGGAAACCTGAAAAAGGGGAAGAGTGAAACATGGAGAAAGAAGGAAGTATACAATTGGGAAGGAGTGGTTCATAGCAGAGTCAAGCTTATATGCTTATGGAAAATTAAGGCAGCTTAATGAGGAATCAGAAGAAGATAATATCGTTGTTAGAGGACCTTTGAAGACCATAGCTAGCAAAGTGCCTGACATACAGTAAGCATTTAATAGATGTTTGTTCTTCTGATTTGACCTTGTGCCTCCAAGGTCATAGAAAAGTGATGTTTGGTTTTGCCTAATGGTGTTTATTTGTTTGCTTTTTCAGGGGAGTGTTCTAGGAGGGCCAGGAATATATTGGGAAGTGACATCAATGTTAAAGAAAAAAACTATCAAAAAAAAGAGCTCGTCTCTCCCTTCCAGCATAGACAATCAACACATGGGGTGGGCTTAGTCTAGGGAGCTAAGGGCTATTGTGGGGTACCTCCCACTATACACACAAAAAACCCCACCTCATTTCTCCTTCATTCCCAGAGCCCATCTAGACTACTGACCACCAGGGCCTTGCTGTAGCTGTAAATGAGAACCCCAAGAGGATCAGACAGAGTTGAGGGTGGGGCTCCATTCTAAGAGATACCCTACCAAGACCACTGGTGGGTCTTTTTTTTTTAACTATGGCACAGATGACCCCATCCAGCATAAGGAGGGGCAAGTAGGAAGGCTTTCACGCACCTTTCTTCCACTCCCTTGGAGCATACAAGGTTCCTGGAGATATGGCCTGCAGAAAGATCAATTGATCAGTATGGGAACTCTTTCACTGCAGCCCCAGTCTAGATAGATGGAGTCCCCCTACCCCACCCCTACCCCACCACTCATCTGGGCCATTTTGGGTTCCAGAGACACACTACAAATGATAAGGAGGATGTTTAGAGCACCTGTCCTCCAAGGAGGAACCTGATTCTGACTTGCAAGTACCAATAGTAGACAGCATTTTAAAGTGAGCAAAATATTTAATCTGCATGCTCTCATTTGCCCCTTGAAGCTAATGGAGGGGGGGCAGGTGAGAGGGAAACTATCTAGAGTGGGGCTGCAGTGAGAGGGTCCATCTGTGTGACACTGGGGACAAATGGGAGAAGGAACTGTGTGAAGAAGGCACAGAGAGACTTGACTGACAGGCACAGAGACAGACCCTCACCTAAGTAAGCTTCAGATGGGGGAAGAAAAAGAGAGAAGGAAGCAGAGCCTATAAGCAATTTCTCTGCAGTCCATGCAGAAGAAACAGGTAGAATTCTCTCCTTTGCCTTCCCCCACTGAATTCCTAAAGCAGGGGGGACTTGGGTTGACAGGTTTAGCCATTCCTACCTCCTACTGAAGAGACAATATGGCTTTGTGATTAAAGAGCCAGACTTGGAGGCGTAGCTTTGAAACCTGCCTCTTAGTCTTGTAAGTTAAGTGGTTAAAAACAAAGCATTTCACTTCTCTGAGACTCAGTTTCCTTATGAATTGAAGAGAGATTATAATACTGGCAGTACTAACCCTCCAAGGGTCCTTCAAGGGGAAGATAAGATAAGGTAGAGGGAGTATTTTTCTCACTTTAAAGTGCTATCTAACTGTCCACTATTGGTACTTGCAGGTCAGAGTCAGATTCCTCCTTTGAGGACAGATGTCTCAACCTACACCCCCCCCCCATCATTTGTATTGTGCCTATAGGACCCAAGAGGGCCCAGTGAGGTGGTAGGATGGGGCAGGGAGTCTGTCTATCCAGAGTGGGGCTGCAGTGAGATAGATACTGCAGCACCTGCTGCATTCAGTCCCCTGGCATTGCTCTAGTGGGTAAAAGAAAGGGAAGCCGAAGGGTGGGGAGGGGGAGGGAGGGAGATTAGAAGGGAGGGAATAGGGTCTGCAGATATTGTCTGGTATGGTTATAATAATAGCAACACTTCTTCCTGTGAGGCTGGATTCCTCATATCTGTTGGGGATTGTTGCTATTGATTTTCTCTTCCTTGTCAATTTCATTGTGTTGGCAAGAGCCAACGGGATATGGATCTCCCCTGAAGTTAAATCCTTTTGTCTCTTACCAAATCCCTATCCCGAGACCTCTCCAGAAACAGTTTCATGTAAGAGTAGGGTCCTGAGTTTGGTTCAAGAATTATTATTATTAATTATTCATTTCCCACTGCTGGGAATTCAGGGATGGTATGGTTAGGATTTGGGGTGGGTGGGAGAGAAAAGACCAGTGGCATAAAATATTCATTCTCTGTTCTAGGGGAGTTTAAGGTTATGCTCTGGGGTCGGTGTTCCCCTTAGCTCTGGCTGAGCTGGGAGACTCCCCCGCCTCTTCCCCAGAGCCAGGTAACAATGGTGGCGCTGGGGCGCAGGGAACTTGCTCTGTATGCGCCGCATGTGGGACTGCAGAGCCGGCAAGATGTCTCGGTTTTTTCGCCCCGGCCCCCCCTCGCCCCCGAGCCTCCAGCTTTTCCATAATCTGGCAAAATGGAGGCTCCGGCTGCTGATCCAGAAGGGTAAATTGGACCAGGGGATGTTTCCCTTTTGCATGCTTCCTGTCTTCCAGTCTCCGGGGCCACTGTAGTTCTAGCCAGCCGTCTGCAGAAGGGAAAGGGCCCGGGGGTCCTCTGGCCGTGAAAGCCTTCTGCAGAAGAATAGAAACAATATTGACCACGAGCCCGGTCCTGATGGGCAGCACCTGGGCCTGGATGACTGGGGGAGGGGTGAGGGGGAGGGGGGTGGCCCGCATCTCTCTAAGTAGAGATGCAAGAATTGGGACCTGGGTAGCAAGCATCTGAAGCTTGGAGAACGGGGCCGTGTTCGAGATGCTCCAGGAATTGGAGGCTCGTCTCAGTCAGTACTGGTTGCTAAATCCGAGCAGTCCTTCAGCTGGGAGCTCAAGAGAGGCCGGGCCACATCACCTGGGCAAAGGTGCACTCTCCCGCCCCCACTGCAATGGCTTTGGGGTCCTGGACTCGGGAGGCTGAGGAAGTCAGGCTTGGAGGGGCGTTTGCCCTTTCCCCGGGCCGCCGGCGAGCTGCAGAGGTTTCTCTCCTTAGAGAGGAAGGAGGCTGAGATCGAGGGCTGCTGCCCCCTTACCGGTCAATCTAGCTCTCAGGTTCTTCTGTCCTGCAGGGGTCCAAGAGGGAACCAGACCCTCAATGCTTCCACGTCTGGACCCTGGGGGATGCGAGGGGGACAAAGGAATCGGCTGTTTCCCTGTGTCCCTGGGAAGGGGCTTACTCGGGGCTGGGCAGGCGAGGGTTAACGGGAGGTGCTTTCTGCTGCAAGGCTTGGCAGGAGTGTACTACTGGGTTGCTGAAGAGCGGAGAAGGGAGAGGAGGGCTAAGCTGCAGTCTGGATTGGAGAGAGCCGGGGGAGGGCTCTGGGCCGGAACCCCCAGGAGTGATGAATGCAGGACGGGGGACCCCTCGATGCCCTGGGGCCTGCGGGATCGGGTTACATAAGGGCCAGCCCCGAAGCCTCTTCCCTCTCCCTCTCCCCCCCTCTCAGTTCTACCATCCCGCCTTGAAGCAGATCTAAGCAGAGCTTTTCATCGTCCTGCAGAGGAAATGCGAGGGGTTTTCTCTAGGGGGGGAATCAATGGTCGGCCGGAGGTACTTCTTAGCTCAAATGCCACCCCTGTCTGAGGAAGGCCGGTGGCCCTGGGATCCTTGGGGGAGAGTAAGTCTACGGGCTTGGCGGCTGTCAGGGCTGAGGAGTGGGGGAGGGGGGCTTCAAAGAGGGAGGGGTGGTGTTCCCTCTGCAAAGTTGAGCTCTTGGACGATATTTTTTCCGTTGTCCCCAGGACTGGCTCAGGTCAGGGCTTAGATCAACCATCTCCATTCCCACCCCAAGCCTGAGAAGCTTTAACCTAGGCCCATCCTTGGTTTGCCCGAGGGTACAAGCGGGCCCTGTGTCCCCTTCCTCCATTCCCTTCTCCATCCAAGAGGAAGGCGTTAAGCTCAGACCGGGCGGGGTTGGGGGGGGGGGGAAGAGATTCTCCAGAGAGCTTGGCCTGGTCGTGCTTGCTGGCTTCTCTCCTTTGCGAGAAGGAATCACCGGGTTGCCGGGTGGAGGGGAGTCAGCTAGAAAGGATGCGGAGCTGACCCACAGTGGTCCCAGGGCACGGTGCAAGCTGAGCCCCCAGCCAGAGGCAGGGGTGGGCAGCCAGGTCCCTTAGAGAGCGAGGGCAGCATTCTAAGGCCCGATGTTTTGGCCCGGGGCAAGTGGAAAACCAACCCACATGCCCCCAGAAGCCGGGTCTTGGCAGCCGCTGCCTCAGAGCCCCAGTTCCACCTTGCTGATGTTTTTTCCAGGCAACGTCACACCTCCTGAGGACGACGGGGAGGACACTGGGTTTCGCTGAGGTTTGCATCTTACCGCCGTCAAAGCGGAGGCTCCAGACACGAGCTGGGCTGCCCCGGAGCCAAGGACCACACTGGCCAGGCTTCCTCTACAGTCAAACGCCAGGGCTCACCTCCGGGAGCCGAAGCCTGCTCTCTTGCCCAGAATGACTCACCATTCTTCCTGACTCGGGTGCTAGGACAATATGGGGAGCTCAGCTGTCTGTTTGTGTATCTAGGATTCCCCCAGAGTCTCAGCGGCTTGGTTACTAAGAGACCTCCCTGATTCCAGCTCCTCCAGGTAACCCAATTTGTTGTTTTGTCATTTGCCGTTTGCCTAAAGCCAGTGGTGCAGACCCATGCTAAGCACTCTCCCATCCTCTCCCAGAAGTGGGGGAGACTACTGGGGCGCAGGTATTTGCAAGTGAATAGTTCAGTGACAAGAGTTGGGATGGTGATGGGTGGGGGCTGTGCTGTAAGGAATAGGAGTGGTACAGAAAGAGACTTTATTTCCCTCCCCCTTCCCACTATCCAGGGAGCCGCCTGCTTTAGATGTAGTGGTGTGGCTTTCTTGAGAGACTGCGTTAGTGCCTCCTCTATGCCCCCTCAGTACTGGGAGTTGGAATAAAGTTGTCGGGGTCTGGAGAATCTGGAAGGGGAGGGAGAAGATAATCTATCTTGAAACTCCTCACTGGACAAGAAATGGGAGACAAGCAGCCATGGCTTTGGGGTATGCTGGCCACTTGTGTTGTAATTCTCTTACCTGACTCTGTCTTTCAGCCAAGCCAAGCAGGAGCTCTTTGGTGTGCAGAGCTCCCTCAATGCTCTCATGTTCAAACCCAGGCTGATACTCCTGCTTTTCTGCGGGACATTAGCATTGTCCTGAAAGCTCTCCCCTGGGACGGCTGGAAGGTGTAGAGCCAGGAGCCCTCCCCAGCCCCCATTATGACAGTGGCCACTGGAGACCCAGCAGATGAAGCTGCCGCCCTCCCTGGGCACCCCCAGGACACCTACGACCCCGAGGCAGACCATGAGTGCTGTGAGAGGGTAGTAATTAACATCTCGGGTTTGCGGTTTGAGACACAGCTCAAGACTTTGGCCCAGTTTCCAGAGACCCTCTTGGGGGACCCTAAGAAGCGAATGAGGTACTTTGATCCACTCCGAAATGAATACTTTTTTGACAGGAACCGCCCTAGCTTTGATGCCATCTTATATTACTACCAGTCTGGGGGCCGTTTAAGGCGCCCTGTGAATGTCCCCTTGGATATCTTCTCAGAAGAAATCCGTTTTTATGAACTGGGTGAGGAGGCGATGGAGATGTTCCGAGAGGATGAAGGCTACATCAAGGAGGAAGAGCGTCCTTTACCAGAAAATGAGTTTCAGAGACAGGTGTGGCTTCTATTTGAATACCCAGAGAGCTCTGGGCCAGCCAGGATTATAGCTATTGTGTCTGTCATGGTGATTTTGATCTCCATTGTGAGTTTCTGTCTTGAAACTTTGCCCATTTTTCGGGATGAGAATGAAGATATGGCTGGTGGTGGGATTCCTTTCCATACCTACTCTAACAGCACCATTGGGTACCAACAGTCCACTTCCTTCACTGACCCTTTCTTCATTGTGGAGACACTATGCATCATCTGGTTCTCCTTTGAGTTCCTAGTCAGGTTCTTTGCCTGTCCCAGCAAAGCCGGTTTCTTCACCAACATCATGAACATCATTGACATCGTGGCCATCATCCCGTACTTCATCACCCTTGGGACCGAGCTGGCAGAGAAGACAGACGATGCCCAGCAAGGCCAGCAGGCAATGTCACTGGCTATCCTTCGTGTGATCCGGTTGGTAAGAGTCTTTAGGATTTTCAAGCTGTCCAGACACTCCAAAGGGCTCCAGATCCTAGGTCAGACCCTCAAGGCCAGCATGAGAGAATTGGGCCTCCTCATATTCTTCCTATTCATCGGGGTCATTCTCTTCTCTAGTGCTGTCTATTTCGCAGAGGCAGATGAGCGAGATTCCCAGTTCCCTAGTATCCCTGATGCCTTCTGGTGGGCAGTCGTCTCCATGACAACAGTAGGCTACGGAGACATGGTCCCCACCACCATTGGGGGAAAGATTGTGGGTTCCCTTTGTGCAATTGCAGGTGTCTTAACTATTGCCTTACCAGTCCCTGTCATAGTGTCCAATTTCAACTACTTCTACCACCGGGAGACAGAGGGAGAGGAGCAGGCCCAGTACTTACAAGTGACCAGCTGTCCAAAGATCCCATCTTCCCCTGACCTAAAGAAAAGTAGGAGTGCCTCCACCATTAGTAAGTCTGATTACATGGAAATCCAGGAAGGGGTGAACAACAGTAATGAGGACTTTAGAGAGGAAAACTTGAAAACAGCCAACTGTACCCTGGCTAACACAAATTATGTGAATATTACCAAAATGTTAACCGATGTCTGATTGAAACCTATTAGCATATTTACAGCTCAAGTGGAACTAATGCAGATATTGCGTAATAGCCTGCATTGTAGCTGTGTCCTAACCGCGTGTACTTGGTTATGCATGGAAAGCAAGAATTGTGAAGTGATTTTTTTTTATTTCTTTAATTTTTTTTTTTTAAATTTAGAACACAGACTATCCTGTATGTGGCTTTCATGCAGACTTTCATCACAGATCTAGGGGTTTCCAAAAACCGAAGATACAGAAAGACAGGTGCAACTCATGTAGTCAGGATTCACAAAGGGACATTCGAACTATCTCATATAAGCAGCATGACCTACTAGTATCAGTGTGTCAACTCTCCCAATTAACTGTCCTTAGCACATGCAAGGGACTTCCCTCTCCATCAGACTTCCCAGTCAGCCCTTCCTTCTTCCCTTTTCCTTTCCCCCTCTCCCTCCCTCTTCCCTTCCTCCCCGGAGCCAAAACGGATCCTGGCTTCACTTCTTAAGCTTTGATAACTATTCCAAATGTCATCCCCATGTTTTACATTGAAAAGAACACACAGCCGTGCGTGCAGAATCACTTTCTGTGTCACCGGCTTGGTGAACTGCAGTTGCCAAGTGGAGGGCTGCTGAGGCTGGTTTCATAACGGAAAATACTGCATTCGACTCTTTCCCTGCAGTGTCAGTGCGAGGCCCAGGGGAGGGACAGCTAGTGTGACCCAAGATGGGTTGTTAAGACTCAAATTTCATGCTCAAGTCTTAGGGGAGAAACCAACTAAGGAATCTCTCTGCCTAGAGGGGTCACCATTTTTTACCATCTTCAGGGTCGCCAAAGAGAACGACCGATTCCTCTATGACACCTGAGTTTCCCAGAGTCTCCTTTGCTAACGTGGTAGCCTCTGGGCATACTGATACTGCAGTGAAACCCGACAGTGCTTCCGAGTGGGGATTTGTTGCTTGAATCTCAATATCTAATACCCATGAGATTAATCTGTTGTTGTTTTTTTCAGAGCAGCCTACACACACAGTATTCATGCTTATAGTATTGATACACTCGGGATGGCACTGAGTTTGAGGACTTTTTAAACCATGGGAGGCCAAAAGTCCTTAATTGGGAGGGGGAAAAAACATAACATGAGACTCCCTGGGAAAAGGGAAGCCAGACCTTAGGTGTGCATTCCACAGTTCTTCCAGGCAGGGGCACAGACTTCTGCCGAGCCCAGAAGGTGAAATAGTAAGGAAAAGCCTGAGCAGACCTCATGGACTACACCTTAGTAATCAATCTTGTTGCAAGCAGGATTTTTACAGTTGGCCAGAGCATTTAGTTGTGAGTGCAGGTGGATCTGTGGATCCAATGTACATATACCCAATATCACCTTCATGTGTTCCTCAACCTACCTACCTAGCTAGAGATAAAAAAAAAATAGTTGCATTCAAACATGGTATAAGCTTATGCAATATTTTTGACACAGGGCAATTTATGCATGTGTTCTGACTATGTGCACTAGTGCCTGTATATGTCTTGCTACATATACACGAGCAAACACGACACACAAATATAAGTATAAATAGTAGTTATGTATATATATATACGTAAATGTATACTCTCTGGAGTTCAGGTTCAGAGGGCAAAACCATTGCTCTGTGAGCTGGGGAAACGACTCACGCATGTCTAAGAGGCCTCACAAGTTCGTGTTGGATTGATCCTCGTTTTGGATTGGTTCCCCCACTGGGCCATGGTTTGCTGCCGTCACCTGAGACACTCCAGCCTGGGTGGTTTCTTAGACCATTACAAAATGTCTTTCTGCCCTCCACGTGCTGCAGCTCCAGTCCCTGTGGCTGAAGCTTGTCTTACTGAGTGCACAAGGGCCCATGGCCCTCACGGTTCCCTCAAGATGCCCCTTGGCCTGGCCCCAGGGGCAACCTTTTCATCACCAGTCCTTAAACCCAGCGGGACAGAATTAACTCCATCACCATCTCCCCATCCCCACTCCTCCTTGCCTTGCCTTTCCTTTTCGCCTGGCTCTGTCTACCCAGCCACTTCCATGGCTCTCTTTTCCCCAAGTCTCCTGATTTAGTACTGAGGCCAACAAGAAATAGGACCTTTCTGAGACCTAGGAGTTTTAGTCTTTGACTGAAGTCTCTCCTCTCTCTGCCCCCACAATCTAGAAAAGTACAAAGGTAAATCTAGATAACTGAAATCTATGTATGGTCCATAAACACTGTTTGGGTCACCAGACACAACCTCCATCCCCTCCCTGATAACTCCTTCTTCCCATTAGACCTACTCAAGAGTGGCAGAGTAGGGAGGGAAATGGTTTTGGTGTCAGAAAGCCCTGGGCTTCAGTCCTGCCTCAGAGATTTACTAGCTACATGATTCTGAGCAAGTCACTTAACCCCACTGCATCTCAGTTTCCTCATCTGTAAAATGAGAGGATTAGACTTGATAGATCCCCTGAAGTCTGTTCAGGGTCTAAATCTATTATCCTAAATGGGTGGCATCCTAAGTGGTCTTCTTTTCTTCTCTCCCTTTGCCTGCCCCTGGAGGAAGTGAATGAGCAATGGGAACACCTAAAGCTTTGTAAGGAGTGGCAAAGATCAGAGCCCCACACCGTCCTCTAGGGCTGAATTTGTCTAAGATTCCCATAAAAATGAGAATGGAACTCTATAAGCCCCAACTTGCCCCTTAGGTATCTGTGTCATAGGCTCATCTCCTTGTCTGCCAATTTGCTCGGTGCCTGTAGTTGACACAGGGAGGCACTGAGGTAGGAGTCTAATGGTTCTGAACCACTTCAGTGCATGGATTCCTGGGCACAGTAAAGGCTCATGGTGTACGCTCATGGACTCACATGTCTTCTGTGGGTTTGCCCAGCTCTGCACAGTCATCCTTTTATGCACCCAGTCCATCTGAGGCTATTCTGAACCCCCAGGAGTTAGGAAGGGTATGTACCCGTTCTGATAATAGCTGAAAGGGAAGCAACCCAGATCTATAGACTCTAGGTCAGGACTGTAGATATTTTATTACAACACCCTTCCAGAGAGGAGTTAAAAGCAGAGAATTCCCCTGTGGGATAGAAAGTGCTCTTAAAAAGAAGGTGAAAAACAACCCTCTGATCAAGAGACACAAATACATGCAATATACACATGTGCAAAAGACACACAACACACCATGAAAATATGGGGGAAACCCATGGAAAATACACAGGACCAGACCTATATGGTCTGCACAAATACAACATGCACAAATGATACACATATGACACACAACACACAGAGACATAACGGACACATACCAACATTTCTCTGCTCATAGAGCTAAAAATGATAAGCACAAGCCAAAGTAGACCCTAACAGAAGCTTTATCCGCTTGACCTCATCTGTCTCTCTAACCCTCCTACACACACACACACACACACACACACACACACACCTCCCAGCTCTTAGGGCTGCTTTTATACTCCCCCGAATTCTTTGAGGGGCATCTACTTTTACACCTCTCGGTGACTCCCCCATTCTCCTCTTCTGATCTTTCTCTTCTTTTCTTTCTACCCCATCTAATCCCATTTTTTCCTAAGGAGAAACCTCCATTTGCCAGTAAAGACAGGGGACTGGACCATCTCTTCCACAAGGGCTTCTGATTGGAGCAGGGAATCTTATAAGATATCCCACCAAATCACTTTTTTTCCTCCCAGAAATCTGGGACTCAGAGCAGGCAGTGATTGATGGGCAAGCTCACTGCCTTACTGTACCACTTCCTCCAGAGAATACTGCCGTCTCTGTACAGGGCCTGTTCCATTAATCCAGTGGGCTTTGTTGTTATTCTTGTTGTTCATTTGTTTGTTTGGGCTAGGGTGGAGTCGAAGCAGCTAGATGGCACAGTGGATAGAGTGCTGGGCTGGGAGTCAGGAAGGCCTAAATTTTAACACTGGATCCATCCCTTAGTTTCTCTGAGTCTTGGTTTTCTCAGCTCAGTTTTTCTCAGTGAAAAGGAAATCCTAACAGCACCTTCTTCACAGGGTTGTTGCAAAGATCAGATGAGAAAATATACCAAGCACTTGCAAAACACTACATAAATATTAGCTAATTTTATTGTTGTTATTTTCTCTGCATAACTGGAATCTGTAGGCTCAGCCCTCGTGTCTTGGTGGCTGCTGGCTACTGAAACAACAGGGTCATGGGCTGGGAACAGCAGAAGAGGAACACCAAGGATGTCACTGTGACATCCTTCCTACCTATAGCTTTATCTATGGCCTTTGCTAGGGTCATGGGAGAGTCCGTCTAGATAAATAAGGAGAAATTACATTTTATCCGGGGGAAAAACATAGTTAGCTTTCCTTCCTGAAACAATTCCCTGGATCCCAGTTATTGAAATCAACAGTCTACTGTTGGTTAGTTGAGATTGCTAAGGAACTTAATAGTTGGTTTATCATGAGTGGTTTATAAAAAGTGGGTTCCCCTCACCCCTCAATACATCCCTAGAAGCCAGCTGGTGAGACTTAAGGAGAGGTAAACTCCTTTTAATGCCAGCCTGAGGGAAACATAGGAAGCTAAATTGATTGCTTTAAAAAGTGGAGGAGGGAGTGCTGAATTATGTCATTTATGTTCAAGATAGACAGAAGGATTGTACCTGTGATTTACTCTGTATGGAATACAAGTCTACCAATGTCAGTCAACACTTTCTCTTCAACTTAGAGTCTTAAAAGAGTTGCCCAGAACACTGAGACTTGACCAGGGTTAAGTGACTTACCCAGGGTCACAAAACCAGTATGATCAAAGGCAGCACTTGACCCCAAGGTTTCTCGGCTTAAAGGCCAGCTCTCTATTTAGTATGTTACTCCAAAACCTTAGTTAAATGATTTAAGGATTGTCCAATATTATGGATTATCTCTATGTGTCATTAGTTCCTCTCAACTTACGTGAATAATTGTTGACTTCCTAGTTTGCCCCCAGTGAAGGCCAGCAGTTGAAGCAGTGCCTATGGTCAGAGGGTTCTGGGAGGGGCCCAGGGGACCCTATGCTTTCTCTGCTCAGA